CATCCTCCCCCTCTCTATTCTGTTATACTGTGGCACACTCACTAGTAAACGATGGACTTAAGTGGAGGAAAGGGCAGACTTTTCTGGAAATCCCACTTTCTGGAATGGTTCCCTGGCGTTTCAGGACATAGCACACCAGGACGTGGGCTTTTGTGTTGATGGCTGGTCTGTAGGCAGCATGAAGATGTGGTCTTCCCTCCTGAGGTCACATTGGAGCAGTCGTCAGCACAGCCGCAGTGCCCCACCCGTAGCCCAGAACCATGCAGAGTGCTCCTGTGACTCCCAACCCCCAGTGTGCGTCAGAGAGCACTCTGATGCCAGGCGCACAAAGCCTCACTGCCTGTGGCAGTTGGGAAGTACCAGGAATGAACATCCCAAGAGCTACCCTCACCCAGTGATTCTTAAAGGGTTGGGGTGCATAAGCCTCCCAGCTCTCTCCCACCTGGGGCAGGCTTCTGAGGCCTGTGGTTTGTACCATTTCTGCTTCTCGTGGGGCTTCATTTTACTTGCTTGGTACTCTGCTTTTTCATGGTTCCCATCCCTTCCTTAGCTCATTTCCTTGCTGATGTTTCTGGCATTGCCTCAATAAACTACTTGCACTCAAATCCTTGCTTTCTGAGAGCCTATGTTGGATACTAATGACTTAGAAATCCCGAGAAGCTGAGCTGTATAAGGGCTCTTTGGAGGTGACTACATTTTACAGATCTTGACTCTTCTATCAGTGCCCTTCATTTTCTGCTTCTCAGCGTTAGAGTTCTCTTACATTCCCACCTTTGCTGCCATCTCCAACGCTCCCTGTCCTCCTTATTTCTTCAGACAACTCCATTTTCTCCCTCTTGAGAAAGTTTTCCACTTGCCTCTGCGATGCCGTTCAATGACAACTCCTTGTGTTTCCTTCTCTTCCCTGCCAAGCTTTGGAATGAGCATCTGAGAAAATTGCCTCTATTTTCTCTCTTCACTTTTTGCTTAAGCACTAACAATTTGGGTACCATTGTCACACTTTAGTCAAACAGCTCTCAGGTTCCCACTAACAACTTCCTTATTACAAAATGTAAATGTCCTTTTTTCTGTTCTTTTGTCATTTCAGTTCCCATTGAACATAGAACATTTCCTTCCTTAAAATTGTGTCTTGAGTAATTGAATTGTTACAACTTAAGGGATGTTTAATCCAAATCTTTCACTTTATATGTGAAAGGGACTAATAAAGCCTAAAAAGATTGAGTGATTTGCATTGCAAGGTTCAAAAAATGTAAAAGCTGGGCATTGAATCCAGGGCATCTGACCTACTGTCCTTGGTAGAGTCTGTTCTACTACAAGAACTGTTTTTGATAAGTTCTGATCCAAATCTTTGCTAACTCATTTCTTCTTACATACATTCCTCCCAGCTGTTCTTTCACCATAGCCCATTATTCTCCACTGTAGCTGTCAGAATGGTATTCCTAAAATACCAATCAGCGCCTTTCACTCTCCAGCCTAGCCTCTGACTCTTTGTTACTTCACTTAAGACAAAATCCAAGCTCCTTTTCATGCCTTGCAAGACCTATTAAGATATCATTTTGTATTTTCTTGCAGTCAACAGGCTACAACTCACAGACTCTGGCTCTTGCCCTACCACTGGGCAGTGCTTTGCTGTTCCTCGTCTTTGGAATGCTCTTCTCCAAGACCATCACACAGCTGCTTTCTCTTCCTCATCTGAGGAAGTTCCCATGCCTTACATTTTCTCAACCCATACCAGTGTCCACCACATTGGACCTCTTCATTTTCTGCATAGCATTTTCCATAAGCCACAATTATATTACTTACTACTTTGATTGGCAATTTATCATGTTTCTCAGCATTAGAATACAAATAATAGAAAAAGGGAAGTTTGTCTTCTTTGACATACCTCCAGTACCTGGATCAACAGATGGCCCCAAGTCAGTGTTTAATAAAGAATTTTTTGAATTAAGAAATGAGTAAATGAATCATGTCTGATATTTGTGAGTGTGTGTGTGTGTGTGTGTATTTCTAAGGATCCTTTCCCTCTTTTACATCTGGAAAAAATTATTTGCACCAAAATCAACTGGTTGCCTTATAAATAAATAGGGTAAAACTTATTCTTGACTGACAGAATTTTTCAATTTTTTCTTTCACCAAATGCCCACTCTGACTCTGTGAGTGCTCAAGTATATCATTCCTTCAAAATGTATCACCTTCCATTTCCATGAAGTCATGTCTCACAGCCTTCATTGATCACCCCTTTTTTCAGATTAGATCAAATGACCCTTATGTTTTATACAATCTGAATAGTCATTTATAATATGTAGTGTCTTGAATTATTTTATATTAGTGCATAATGGGATTTAAGCACCATGCCTAGACACTTTAAGCATGTGAGTGTGCATACACATACTGGAGAACTTCTTTATTTGCCTATTCTGTAATTGCAAATATGGCTACTCTCTAAAATTTATTTGCTTCCCTAAGATCAACACTTACAGGGCTTTCATGGCTATTCAGACATATTTAGAGAAAAGTTTTAGTCATGCTGCATACACTTTATTTGCTGAAGCCAAACAAGGCCACACTATACCTACATCTTTTGGCTCTCTTACAGTAAATAAGTGTTCTTTTTGTACTCTGTTTAGTGAGATTTTTGTTTTCTGTGCTTTCTGTTGGTGATTTACTATTTAAGATGATCCTATACATAGTGCTGAGCTGCTCTCTAGTGTTTCTAAGCACAAGAAGGTGGTACTGTGCCTTGCAGAGAAAAGAGGTGTCATGTCGAGTTTGTTTATTCATGAGTTACAGTGCTTTTGGCTGTTAGTTAAATGCTAGTGTACTAAAAACAAAATAAATAAAGTATCTTCAAATAACATACATAAAGCTTGGAAAGGTTGTGAGCAGAGGTTCATAGAAAACTAACTGAATTCTCCTAGAGCAGTGGTTTAACATATCCTAATCCAGTGTTCACAAAAACTATATGGAACTACTATGGATTATGAGAGTACTATGGATTATGAGAATGACTGTGTGTGTGTGTGAGTGTTGGCATCGGCCTTCTTTAAGTGTTTTGGAAAAAAGCCAGAATTTATTAAAATAAAGTAATTTGCCCAAGATCATTTGCCAAGCTGCTTAATTGTAGATTTAAGTCTTTCAGCTTCCCATTTGCACAAAAAGGTTTCTTTCATCTTATTCAGTTGCAAGACTGTAACTATCATAGGTGGGTACTTCGAAATGTTTGTGGAAAATGGAATTAAAACACAAATTTTTATTTGGTGTGAAAAATACTTGAAATCCCTGCATAGTTTTTTTTTTTTTCAGAGCATATCTTTTTCTGTGACCTTTATGAGAACTTCTCTTAACATGTGTACAGGATACAAATGGAATTTTCTCTTTAAAGGAGCAATGAAAAACCATAATGCATACAGAAAAGTAGATGAAGGTGATGTTTTAAAAAATAGCATGTCTTAGAATTTCAGTTTTGTGTGTACTTATAGTGATATCAAATAGTAAAAGTAGAATACCTTTTCTCTGAAAGATGAGTTGATCGCAGTATCCATACATTTCATATTCCTTATCATTGCAGTGAAAGTCTGACTAGCGGCCAGACCTTAAAGCATCAAAGCTGTAAAAATGCTACCATAACCTGACTTGTTTCCTGGCATGTGGATGTGCACATTAAACTTTGTTGGCATTTATTACAGCTGAAGTCACACCTGCTGTGAGAATGAACACATTAGCACATTTATGTGGTTAAAGAGCCTCAAACCTGATTTCATAATCAATTGTACATTTATCCCAGAGACTGTATTTTATTCTAATGTCTGCACAAAATGAATTCATATGGATCAACTTACTGGCTTCACAGTTTCCATACACACACACATACGTATGTAAATACAGACACTAACAGGTAAATGTGTACCTTGAGATGTGTTTTTTATATTTTGATTATTTAAAAGAAGTGGTTAAATCAAATACTTTTGAAACCTCCTAAGTACCTTGGCGCAGTTTGAAAACTTTTTTGTTTTTCACTCTCTTCTGCTGTTCTTTGTGAAGTAGATGGTGTGTACATGAGGGTAAGATTCATTTTTTTGTTTGTTTCTGTATTTGAAAAATGAGCTTAGTAACAAATACAAATAAATATCTCACCATTGGTTACTCAGTTCAGTCCAGATGGTTGGCAACCAGCCACATTTAAGCAAAGATGTGAGCAGTGTGGTGTTTAGAACTAAGTAGTGTGATAGAGTGATATCACTGGTTGTGTGACGTGAGAGTCTTGACGGATGTACACAGTGGATAGGATTATTTTCATATGGTATTCTCTTAACGTTCCCTTTCTCTTGAAAACAAGAACCAAGTATGATATTAAACAGCCTTTCTCAAACTCCAAAAAGCTGTCAGAGACAAGGTTGAGTGAGGAGCTTTGAACAGGAAGACAAGACAGAATCACATCCTGTTTGTCTCCATCCTACTCAACAAATCCTGTAGTGTTAAAAAGTGACTGAGGGATCCTTAAAAGCTGGGTTATCGTGGAGCTGAAGGAACTAATTGGTTTCAGTTGAGAATTCATGAAATTTTATTCTTCCTTATTAATTACATGGTATATGTCCAGTTATTGTAATTATTCTATATTTGAAGAACAAAACCTTTTACAAATGAAAGTATGAAGGTCGATAGATTTTTCCTAGTTTAAAACATAGCTGAATTCTGTTGTGCAGATAAAAACAGACTAACTGCATGACTCCACCTGGCTGTGTTGCTTCTCCAACTGGGCAGAGGACAATTGAATTCTGAGGTGGTTGACCCCATGGCTTTGTCCTGGCATGACTCGGTAAAAACATCACCTGTGTGTAACAATATAAGCAACACTCAGAATGTTCTTAGCAGATTCCACTGTACCTCAGTCCTGGTAAGAACACAGAAGTAATTAGGGGATTCCAAACTTTTCAGCCTTAAGACCCAGGCTTGTTTTTCAGGGGGAAATTATTGAAAATAATAATTCTTTTTTGCTTTAGGAAAGACTGCCAGAGGAAGAAAGAAAACACAACGAAGCTTTGGAAGATCTTCACATGGTAGTAGACGAGGATTCAAGGAGCGAAAGCAGCAGCACAGATGAGGGAAAAGACAAGACCAAATGGCTGTTAGAAAGATTGAAAGCCCTAGAGGTAAGAAATGAAGCAATTTTTACACATTTAAAGAAAAATAACGGCATGTGCTTCTTTCACTGAAACTGGTTTGGAGTGAGGATAAATCTTCCTTTCTTCGATCTCCCAGACTAATGCAATCTAGTGTCTCCCATTGAGGTCTATTTGTCAATGATGAGGTAAAAGTTAAAATTTGTAGCACTATGTGAGGGTCTTGGGCCACTAGCTATGATCATATGGCCTTAGAAAGAGTATATGACTGTAATTCACCTTAAATTCATTTCTGCTTTCCAAGTGGATCTACTTTTAAAATCACAAGCTCCTTGAGGGAAGGGGTTGTGTGATGTGTCACCTTGTCTTCCCTCTGCCTAATGAAGTGAATGAGTGACTGAATACGTAAGATACCCAGTGGAATATAAAGAACGATTATAGCATGCATGTAAATGTTAAGAAGTAGAACTATTTCTTTGGAAGAAATATCTTGTGTAGAAAGAAATTCAATATAGAAAGCTGGGCAGTAGGCATTTGGCCTAGTGTTTGCAATGCCTGAGTCCCACATTAGGGATCTTGGTTTCCAGTTCCTGATGCTAGCTTGCAGCTAACACACACCTTGAGAGGCAATAGTGCTGACTTAGGTACTTGGGTCCCTGTCATCCACATAGATGCCCCAGGTTAAGTTACTAGTTGATGCCTGTGGCAGGCATTTGGGAAGTGAATCAGCAGAGAGGAGTACATCACCTGCTTTCTATCCACCTGTGTCTCTGCTTCTCAAATAATTTTAATTTAAAAAAAGTAGAGCTAAAACCAGGCTAAAGTTTTTTTTAAGGAGCTTTAGGAGCACAATATAGTGAAAGCCACAGATCCATTGTTAGTGGCATTTGGCATCACAAGTAACATCACAAGTATTAATCCCTGAATCTTTATAATAGCCATCAAAAAACATTCCAATTGTTTACAGTTGAGATCTCACATACTGAAAGACTTTATCAAAGCCATCTTTTTCCATGTGATGCCTTAACTCCTTTGCATAAGTTCACTAAGGACTTCTTCTACCATCTAAAGCCCTAGTTGTACCACAGGACCTATAAAACTCTGAGAAGTTCACTAATATACAGAAACATGCTTTGTTTCCAAAACCACCCTGCCTGTCCATTTTCCAGAGTGAATATGTCTGTTTTATTGTAATTTCCAGAGCAATAACATGGCATAATGGTTATGATTATAGATTTAGATTCCACATTAAGATTATAGCCAGATTCTTAGGGTTTGGTTTCAATATGTGATCTAGCTTAAAAAACCTACAAAGCTTCTTAGGACCTCAGGGACTTTTTGTTCTCAACTGCAAACAAGAGGATAGTAATAACTAATCTTACAGGGAAGTATTGATTATCAAATGGCTGCCTGCTACAGGGGTACCTGGTGTGTAATGTCTTATCCATCTATTCTGAGGTCTATGTTAGATCATGATCCCCCTACTTATGTAAATACAAGGATGAGTACAAGAACTGTGAAAGAAAAAAAATCTCAGCTCCTCCACACTAGTGTGACTGAAGGCCGAGAGGTAAGGAAGTAGCCTCAAACAAAGGGTAGAAGAGTCAGCTTAGAGAACCTCTGGAGCCTATCCTGGGAGAAGGTCAGAAATCATCCCTGAACTCCTCACGGTTCTCACACTTTTGTCATAATTTTTAAATTATTTTTAACTTTTTTTTTTATTTGAAAGGTAGAGAGAAATCTTCCAACAACTGGTTCACTTCCCAAATGCTGGAAACATCCAGGGCTAGGGGCTAAGCTGAAGCTGGGAGTTAGAAACTCATTGTGGGCCACTCCTGTGAGTGGTGGGGACCAAGTACTTGAGGCATCTCCTGCTGCTTCCTAGGGTGTGCATTAGCAGGGAGATGGAATTGGAAGCAGAGCTAACACTCCAACTCAGGGACTCTGAAATGGGATGTGTCTTAATGCTGTACTTGCCCCATGCCTATGTCATTTTTAAAGACAGTGCTTATAAAAGGTTTAAGGCTTTCTCAGGGAGACTGGAGTTGCTATTTGAGAGTTTTCAAAAACTGACAGCTTTGACTTGAGGTTAAATGAAATAGATTCAATAGTAGGAATGTGTTGATATTATAATCTCTTACTTCCTTAGAACTATGTACTTAAGCTGTTTTTATTTATAGATTATAGTAAGAATTGGTTTTGGTTCATCTCATTGTCACAGGCAGCTTTGTGAAGGACATTTTATTTAATCAGTCTAAGAGGTATTTGGCAGTATTTGTTTCATAAACTTCCCCATTTAAAGGAAAAGTGCTGTTTTTTTTTTCCTTCCATAGAAATCTCTATACTTCAGGTGATAACTCTTGCATCCAGCATTAGTTGGATGGAAAAGATGATATCTTTAAGTGTCATTGAGCCCCATAATTTAAATTCACAAAAATATTTTATTTTTTCAATTTTCTAAACTCACAGTATCACTGTGAATTACCTAAAATTCTCTGTTCACTATTAAGTGAACTTTCTCCTTGTACCCAAATCTCACTTTCCTCCACTTGAGGATATTCTAATATTTTTATTACATGACATATAAATATATATTTTATTATATCTGAGGGTGCTTCAAGAAGTTTATGGAAAATACATATTATAAAAAAACTATGATTTCAGATGTCTTTTCACAAAAATAAATTTATCCTTTGATTTCATTTCCATTAACTTTCATAAGTAGCCTTTAGTAACCCAATTTCCACAAGAATTTCATGTGCTACTTTATTTATTATTACAGATACTCAAGGTATAGCATCATTTGCATAGGTAAAAAACTGTTGTGGTGGTGTAGCACTGTGGCACAGAGGGTTAAGCTACCACTTGCAGCACTGGCATGCCATATGGGCTCTGATTCAAGTTTGATCTTGCTGTTTGCTAATGCTCCTGGAAAAGCAGTGGAAAATGGTCCAAGTTCACGGACCACTGCCACCCATGAGGGAAACCGAGCAGAAGCTTCTGGCTCCTAGCTTAGGCCTAGCCCAGCCCAGGCAGTTGCTGCCATCTGGGGAGTGAACCAGCGATGGAAGATCTCTCTCTCTCCATCTGCCTCTCCCTTTCTCTCTGTAACTCTACCTTAAAAATAACATAAATCTTTTTATATTGTTATGGGAAAATAAAGGGCTAATTTTCATGCATAAAAATATTGCAATTAAATGTATTAAGGCTAATCCTCCGCCTGTGGCGCCAGCACCCCAGGTTCTAGTCCAGGTCAGGGCGCCGGATTCTGTCTGGGTTGCTCCTCTTCCAGTCCAGCTCTCTGCTATGGCCCAGGAGTGCAGTGGAGGATGGCCCAAGTGCTTGGGCCCTGCACCCGCATGGGAGACCAGGAGGAAGCACCTGGCTCCTGGCTTTGGATCAGTGCAGCGCGCCGGCCATAGCAGCCATTTGAGGGGTGAATCAACGGAAGGGAAGACCTTTCTCTCTGTCTCTCTCTCTCACTATCTAACTCTGCCTGTCAAAAAAAAATGTATGAAGTTGAATAAGAGTTTTCTCTGCTAGATCATTCCTGTCTATGAAACCAAGACAGTTAAATTGCTGACTATAAACATTTTGTTAATCAGCGACCCCTGCTTAAAATTAGTTTAATGTAATCAAACCTGGCTGTACCTCACAGTTATATGTAGAATTTGTAGTCCATAGATAAATACCCAAAACATTCTTTTTTTAAAAGATTTTATTTATTTGCGAGGTAGAGTTACAGACAGAAGGAGAAACAGAGAGAAAGATCTCTCTGCTGGTTGGCTCCCCAGTTGGCCACAATGGCCAGAGCTGGCCTGATCCAAAGTCAGGAGTCAGGAGCTTCTTCTGTGTCTCCCACGTGGATACAGTGGCCCAAGAACTTGACCCATCTTCTACTGCTTTCCCAGACCATAACAGAGAGCTGCATCAGAAGAGAAGCAGCCGGGGCACTAACCAGGGTCCACATGGGATGCCAGCACCGCAGGTGGAGGCCATGCCTGCTATGCCACAGCCTTGGCCCTGAAAACATTCTCTAGGTACTGGGATTAGATAAGTTTTTAGACTACAATGAGAGCTGATCACAGACTCCCATGTGGATTGAAAGATTTGAACAGAAGATCCCTTTGCAAGATGTCAGGGGAACTGACCATAACGTATCAGACGACTTTGGGGAAAATGTGGTATGATATAGCACTGATTTTCCCATCAATGTGTTTTTGAAACAACCATGTCTGTATAATCTTTCTTGGCCCTCTGTGTGGTAGAAATCAGAGAGGAATGATGGTTAGGCTGATGGAAATTAATTCCGTTCTCCAAACAGTTCCCGAGAAAGTGTGGGAAAGGAGATGGAGTTATAGTATGGTTTTGGGTTAATATATGACAGTAATACTCAAAACCAAGTTGGTTGTGCTGAGGAGCCCTTGACTTTGAGCAATACTGTGTAGGCACCTCAGCCCAAGCCTGAGGAAAGTCTAGAGTCCCCACATCCACCTCTGTCTTGTTGCCTATGTGGTCCTTTCTGGGTTCAGTTCCTGATCACATTCACCTTCCAACCCTTCTTTCAGCACCAGCCTCATGTGAAACAAAGCCCCTTTACTCAGTTATGCCAAAGTGCAATCCCACAAGAGATCTGGGGTCATTGGAGACTGTTCTGAATGCTCAAAGCCTTCAACTTGGCCTTCCTAGGGCTGTTTCTCCCTAGTCCTTTGGGTGCAGGAATTCTCAGTAGCTCACTTCTCAGTTCCCAGCTCCCACCATAGAACTGGGCCAGTTCTTTCCTACTTATTCTTCCTTCCCACCATCAAGTTCCCTGTAAATTATTATGCAGAGCTCTTTAGGTCTCCATACTTCACTTTATGGACACACTGCATACTGTGTCCAGGCTCAGGAAGGTATTTTGCTTAACAATCTTACTTTCCTAAAAAGAACTCTAGTAGTTAAAACATGAGTTATATACATTCAAACACACACACACACACACACCACACACACATAAACACACATTTTCTTTGCTTAACTGTTGTATT